AATATATTTATATCTCCTAACTAACCGGTCGCTCGATCGGTGTCTTCCGCGATAAAAAAACAAAGCCCATAAAGAAGTAAATACAGGTTCGTGGAAAGAATGCGCTTCGGATTTGAACCCAAAATGGAAGGAGCATCCGAAAATTCGACACTCAATCAAATCGAATGTAATTTAGGATTATATTAGATTGAAAACTCATTTGCATAATTTTATTAATGTGGAAATAATTAGGTATCAGGGCGCTATAAATATTTGAAGCGACACCTGTTGAAAATCTTTATAATACTAACATCGTCAACATGAAGAAACAAGAGAATTCTACATCGGTTTCTCGATGTTGGATTTTTATTCATGTTTATCACAGTTTGTTAACCGTAGCGACATCTCTTAGAAACGCCAGGCGAGTGCGGTGAATCGTTCGTCTTAAATGAAGAATGGCTGAAGGAATGACTGGACTTCAGGTTACTGAGGAGAGTTTGAAACTCGAAATGAATTTTATTCGAATCAAAATCATCTAACCTATGTGAAAGAGATGTGCATATATCCCAAACATCATGGATACGGATGATTTTTGATAAATTCACGACTCAACAAGAACAGAGTATGTATACTAGTATATTTCTCCCATACATTCCAATTTTCATAACAATTTGGTAAGTAATATATTTTTTATATCGTTATATTCATCATAGTATTCATCCGATTCTGGAAGAGAATGTCAATTCTCAATTTCAGACGATATTCATTTTATGCTCAAATTCCTATCGTGTATGTTCAATTGATATAATTCAATGTTCGTCGTGGCATATAGCCAGGAAAGTAGTTGTTTTCTGTTGAATATGCCGAGAAAGAATTAATAATTTCATCACATAGAGAATGCGAATTCTCAATGTATTTATTCAAATGTATCCATTTTTTCATGTTTATAATATATCTGAGAATATTCCTTTTCAATACTTTCATACCCAATCAAGGGGTTCAAACTTGAACGATGGAAACTTGTTATTTTTATAGACCTTCAATCGCAGATTCGTGATTGGGTTTTTCTCAATTCAGAATTTCTTTCCACGCCCTGTATGATAAATGTCAGTTTGTCATACATCTAAAACAATTGCCACCCACATGACTGGAGATAAGTCAACAAATTTTCATTCTCAGATAGATGTCAGTTCCACTATAGTTTTAGTTATATTATTATAGAAATGTGAAAATTGTGTATTAAATGAAGAATGGCTGAAGGAATGACTGGACTTCAGGTTACTGAGGAGAGTTTGAAACTCGAAATGAATTTTATTCGAATCAAAATCATCTAACCTATGTGAAAGAGATGTGCATATATCCCAAACATCATGGATACGGATGATTTTTGATAAATTCACGACTCAACAAGAACAGAGTATGTATACTAGTATATTTCTCCCATACATTCCAATTTTCATAACAATTTGGTAAGTAATATATTTTTTATATCGTTATATTCATCATAGTATTCATCCGATTCTGGAAGAGAATGTCAATTCTCAATTTCAGACGATATTCATTTTATGCTCAAATTCCTATCGTGTATGTTCAATTGATATAATTCAATGTTCGTCGTGGCATATAGCCAGGAAAGTAGTTGTTTTCTGTTGAATATGCCGAGAAAGAATTAATAATTTCATCACATAGAGAATGCGAATTCTCAATGTATTTATTCAAATGTATCCATTTTTTCATGTTTATAATATATCTGAGAATATTCCTTTTCAATACTTTCATACCCAATCAAGGGGTTCAAACTTGAACGATGGAAACTTGTTATTTTTATAGACCTTCAATCGCAGATTCGTGATTGGGTTTTTCTCAATTCAGAATTTCTTTCCACGCCCTGTATGATAAATGTCAGTTTGTCATACATCTAAAACAATCCATTACAATGTTTCACAATATTCCACTCGCTTTTATAACTTGTTCCAAACATCCATACCAAACACAAATTACTATCTCAACTCCCCTTCACATCGATGCCTAAAAAGTTATAACTCCATTTCAAACATAAGATAGATTACTATTTTTGTGGACAATCCAACAATCTCTGTGAACAAACTCAAGCAACACTTTGTTTCAGCATCCAATAGATTTATTTTTTATATAAAATATATAAAATCTTTGCACTGTATGATTGGAATTGAATACCTAGTATACCTTTATGTTAATACTGTCTCTGGGTTCGCCCTGTTTGTAAAGAATAAAAAATGAAAATCAATAAATAAGGCATATTTGGACTTATCGCCATATTTTGGTCCGAGCAATCCGCCCTCAGCCTATGTTTCAATAGTTATAACTCACCCTGTTTATATTTTTCTCATCTCTTGGAGTGCACGAAAGTAAATGTCTATACTGTACGGAGATCTTCGTGCCTACCAAGAAAGGAAAGGGGAAGAAGGCTGGTATTGACATTTTTATTGAACGTTTGGAGGTTATAAAATATTGGGAATTATTTCATTGGCAAGGAATTGAGCTTTGCAGTTTTACAGATGACCGAATGTTGGTAAAGTGTTGTTCGACATATATCTCAAGGTTGTCAACGAACGAATGTGCTGACTGGGTTTGTCGAGTTCGTCTGACTGGTATTGCTAGTGATGGAATGATAGCAGAGATTTCTGAGGAACATTCTCCATGGAGGTATCTATAGAAAAGTGAAAGGTCGCCGACTATTTTACGGTGTACTAGGTCAAAGAGAGTGGGTGTGGCATCACCCACCAGGCGAATGAATGTTCTCTAGATGGATTCTAAGAGCATCAGCTCATGTTTGGGTGCCGAACCTCATATGTGAGAGCAGTATTCTAAAACTCACCGTGTCTGTGCTTTGCAGAGAAGATGTTGAGGTGTTGAGTAGGTTCTCGCACGAATGAAAAATCCGGATATTTGTGGAGGAACTTGCGCGATGGATCGGTCATGATTTTCTCATGAAAAACAAATGCTGATGGAAATACCGAACATATACAGAGTGTATCTAAATAACACCGAAAAAGTTCAAGGAACGTTTCCTTGTGACATTGTAGCAAATTAAGTTCATATAAACATGTGTCCTTACTTGCTCCGTTTTTGAGATACAGGATGTTAAAGTTGAAAGTATTAGTTGTTTTTATTCATAGCCCACTGTATTTGCTTTCATGGTGCCAAAACTCAGTATGGATGGAGACTGAGAAAGCCCCAAAATTTCGAAATGATTCTAACTGGAATTATTGAGTTATCTCAATGGAAGTCTTGAAAACACCTTCAATAAAATTTGAAGTCAAATAACATTTTTATAGTTTCCTCAAAAACAAGTCTTTATACAAAATTCACACAGAGAATCAATAAGTTGTTATTACAATAGTTCAATCTTATGAAAGCATGAATATAAGTAATCCAATTGCACTAGAAGAAACTCCATATTACTATTAACAAAACCACAACGTTTAATTGACATTGATGAAAAGACAGTTGGAAAATGAATAGAACGAAAATTTTTAATGAAAATATCAATACCTTGTATTCCTAAAACGAGGCAAGTTAGGACAAATGTTTATATTCACTTTATTTCCTGAAATATCAGAAGAAATCACCTCTTGAATTTTTTCGGTGTTCTTTAGATATACCCTGTATGTAGTGGACTTGTTCAAATTGGACAGACATTCGGGTCGATTCTGTTTGCAAATAGCAATATGGTTGTAGAGAATATATCGCTATCATAGCAAGATTCGAAAAAGTGGAATTCTAATCATCGATTTTTGGCAATATGATCTGTCAATTTCAATGACATCAGGTCAGCTTTCTTGCTATCTCGGCAACATCAATTTTGTGCTTGCTATCTTATTACAAGGTAGTGGATTCCTCGTTTTTGCACTACAAATTCTTCCAACTGTATGAACATTCAGAAAAGAGTGGATTAAAAACATATGAGAGTTCAGTTGTGTTACTGACTACTTGAAAACCTTTCCTCAAAGTTTCAATTCGTAGAAGACTTATTGAAAAACTGAAAATGGTGATTACAAACAAATAGGATAGGTTTACTTCTGTGACCAACTACTTGAAAACCTTTTCTTGAAGTTCCAATTTGTAGAGGAAATATGAGACTACAATTTCGGCATATTAAGAACCAGAAAGTTGCCTGATGGATAGTTCATCAAACTATTTTACTAGAATATTAAAGAAAATCACGATTATTTTCATCCGGCTCTTAGTTGTTTCTCATTTCGGGGACATGATTGATTGCTTGCACCAGTCGCACAACGACGACCAGATTCAGCAAATACAAAATCTCTCGATTTGAAAAATATAATTTTGTAAAATATCAGTGCAAGACTGACTAATTTGAGAGGTTAGATGATCATGAACTTTTCTTCTTCGTGAAATAATGGTGAAATCGATACCTAACACTCAAGCAATGAGTTGAAAACAGTGTTGTCAGCTCAAAAATTCGCAATTTTTCAACAATATTGCTATATCACTTGAACTTATAACCAGTCTTGCAGTTACTCTGCAAACAGAATACAGAACTTCATAGCAATATTGTTATATATCGGATCATAACAATATTATTATCTAAGCAATGTTATAACAAGATCCGAACAGAATCGACCCGATTGTGATATCAGGCATTGTTTTCTGCCTTTCTGTTATTGCTATCGGGTCAACTTGGTGATGAGTTGGTACTCAAAAACCCTGATATGTTGACTACAGTACCTATATCATAAGTGAGAAAATAGATTATCAATTGAAATTATGACACGCAAGGAACCTATACAGAACATTGTGGAATACAACAGAACTCATCAAACATTATTGATTTCGCATTACTAGACTTGACCTCTACTAGTTCTCTGATTCAAGATCAACCTGCTGTTATATTATGCTCGGATTCCGTAGAACGGATTTGCCGGAAATAGGGAAAGCCTTTCACTGATTAAGAGACACGCCTAAGGAAAGGTATAAGAAGCAGATATCGTACCACCTCATGGTCAGTAGTTATAGTTGCACTTTATTACACGCCAGCATGAAACTAGTCATTGTAAGTGTGATCAATCATAAGAGAGTTGTTAATTTATACAAAATACTAATTGCTTTCCATTCTGGTATTTGCGGTCATTTCACCTCGTTATACTTGGCTTTCCAAGTATTAAATGTTTGGTGTATTGTGTGATACGAGATTATCATCACATTTCGAGATATAAATGCGGGGTTTTTCGTTTGTTGACGAAATTGTACAAACGAGATGTGACAGTGAGATGCAGCTGATTAGTTCTGATTTTAATAACGGTAGATATTCCGAACTTCAAAAAGCGTGTAGGTATGGAAAACGAATATATTCAATTCCAAGAATTCATAACTTGATTTTATCGATCATAAAGGTTGTTATAAATTCATCGGTTATTATGGAAATCATGGCAATTGTGATATGAATCCATTTTTCAAAATGCCGCTTCAAAGTTTAGATATAATGTTACCTCATTTTTCAAAATACTGGTTGATTGAGTTTGAAAGACGACATTCTATGCATGGGTCGTCAGGATACTCTAGCGCCTCATGTTCGATATATAGGGTATCTAAGTTTGGATTTTGAATCTGGATTTTTTTCGCGATAATTTATTTCCATTGCTTGTTCAGTACTGAAGCCTTAATGAGTCATACCTATCGTTGTTTAGGATGATGAATTATTTAGTGACATTGTTCGGCCCTCATGAAATGATTTGTCTCGTGAATAATCAGGATAGTATGACGCCGTGAGTATTGTATAACAATTTGAAATAAATAATTCACCTCAGGGCGTTCAAGGGAAAGTCTTATTCTTGAACCAGACAGGAAAAAACTGATATCATTGCCTCTGGGGATCAATTACCATGAAAAACATAATGGTGAAAGTCGTATATCGATATCTTTCTTTATTTCTGTTTAACAATGCATTTCCAGATGATGTGCATTCTTGAGCTATTTTTCCTTTCGGCAAAAATGTGGTCATGAAAACATGTCTAAAGCATTGAGATTGTGATAAAAATGGATGTTCACGCAATACATGTGTATTCAAATTCTGTTCAAAAATGAGGAAAACTGAAATTTTCAACTATTTATACGATGATTGATTTCGATAACTGAAGATCACGAACTCAATAATCGAAAATCCTATGAATTAGTAGCTACATTTCAAATATGCACATTTTCTAAAACTCTGAAACTATGTAGATATTGAAATGCGGTTTTCACCTGTGAGTTTGTCACAAGGATTGACCGTCATGCACCCGACATCAGTTTTCATCAATCAAGCTCAAGAATAGGACTTTCCCTCTGGAAGTGTCCAATTGGGTTCACCCTGTACATCTGATGAAACTTGCAAGCCCATAGTTTCTCATCAGCTAGAAATATAATGCTTTCAATTCACATATACCTATACATATTTTGTCGTTGATGAATGACATTCAGATTTTGTTGAAATGATGGAATTCATGATGATTCGAAGATTTTTTCCTATCCGTATGCCAAAACTCACTCATGTTTGAAAATCCTTCACCTCACAATAGTATCTCAGTTTGGGTTGATGAACGATCAACTTTCCCAAGTCAACTGCTTCCATAGTCGAAATGAATAATATCGGTTATGTCACCCACACTCAGCCGCGCACCTACTCATCACAACTCGAAAGTCACTATCAGAAATCAATTCGTTGCTGATAATTACTTTTAAACACTTGGCATTTTGACGCCCCTTGCAGCTGAGGTTTGTTAATCTGTGCTGGCGTCTAGAGCGATTTTCTTGCTCTTCCCAAGTGCTGACATATTTTGATGAAAAAATATATAAATATCAAATTTGAGAAATGGAAATTTGATAAATCAGGCCTTGGCCATGCACCCTGTGTGGCGTCACCTAGAAATGGCGCCCGTGTGCGCCGCACACCCTGTACCCGCATACGGAACGTCCTTGATGCACCTCCCTGAATTTCTTTGGATTTTGTCTCTCCAGCTCTGATAGTAATTATGATATCAAATCATGGAAACCATCCGTCCTTCTCAAAGTGGTCCAATTCTTCAAATTAAAACAGTAACACCCAATGTCAGTCAACCACAAAAAATATATTAACAAATAATTGATTTGCTATTATAATTTCCGTGGTCGACCGACTTTGTGTTTCACTGTTTTCCATAATAATATACAATATTAGTTGTATATCAATATACTTGTGAAATCACACTGCGCCTGAATTGTTCCTAAAAGAGAGGTTACGGAGAATTTCGAACGGTAAATTCATTGCCATCTTTGTTTTTGGAATAAAAATGTGAAATATAGATATATTGACAAACATCAAAATTCACACAATTTTGGACGACCCTGCTTTCAAATTTTGGATTGACTCGGCCGTTATTTGATGGAAATCCATGGCAAATGTGAAAATTTCACAAACGATAGATAAAATTTTCACAAAATTCTCAAACACACAACATGTTTCGCGAACACAGTAGCTTCGTCAGGTGATGAACTGGTACGATGAACCATTCTACATTTGACTCTGCTTTCGATTTCAACGAGAAAATTTAATAAATATATATCATTCATATTATAGAAGATGAAGAGGAAAAATCAAAGAATCTTTTTGCACCCTTATAAACGGAAACAATAACTTTCTCATTATGTTTAGCTGATATAGATATAGCCCATTGGTATTTACTTCTCATATCTGAAACGAAAAATAGGGAATTTGGGATCATGAAGATCACGCAGTAGCTAACATATTTTCCTATCAACTTCGTCACTGAAAAGGGTCGAAAGGCCAAAGAGGTGAAATAAACAACAAGTGGAATTTTACATCTTTTTGTTGAAAGCGAGGGCAAATTCGTTCTGGAAACATATTTTCAAGCTCAGTGAGATTCGAGAAAGGATGATCTGATTTGTAATTACTACGATTATATTGAAATTATCCTGATATCTTTTTTTTGTACAAACGTCAAAAAACTGAATTGTCTTCGCATTGATGACAATATGCAAAGGGGCGATATTTTTCAGTTACCTACGTTATTACCACACCGTGCGCAAAGTATAAGTCCGCGAACTATTGCGTGCATTGCATGTAAACTATCTGAGATTTGTGTATAATAATCGAGCACATATGCGAGAAATCCCTCATTTCTAATTGTTAAGGAATAATTGGGGCTTTCAAAGCCAGTTCTACACTATTAATTATGTGAAGCTGAGCATATTACTACTTTAGAACTATGTTTGTTGACGTTTGTAGAGAAAATGTTGTTCGCACCTCGTGCGCATAGTACTTTGGTCATACCGACTACATTTTTCAACTCGGCTGTGCTTCATTCATAAAATATGTTCTCGATCACCATTATCACCAAAGTAGCATTTTGCGCCCAAGATAAAAGAATTTCCATATCTATATAGACGAGAAAATTTCAAACAGAGGCTATTAATCTTTCGGGCATTTAGGTTTTTTCATAAACATAATACGTAATGGATTCTTCATAGATATGTTCAATTTTCATAATTGGCACTCGTACCTATAACTCAAATCGTTACGAGTCTAATGAATCAGGAAAAATTGAAATTTCTCGATAAAAACGGATCTACTTTCATTGCTCTTCTTATTTTATCAGACAATCACTTATTCAATACATTATTCTCACTGGCGATGCCCATAAATAATTAATGTTATTATGTCCTTTCACTATGAATTCTATTTGTGAAACACGATCCTAGAATGATTTAATTGAATCGATAAAGCCTTTAGCGTCGAACAAATACAGAGCCGGATTTATACCATTTTACGTTGAACAAAGGCTTACGAAGGTGATAGGAGAGCTCATTTGGATCGCTTTGAGTCAGACATACTTTGGCACAAAGTCCTATTTATTCCGAGCTATTCGATAATACCTGGGTTTCTTGAAGAATCGCCTTTTTTCTTGAAAATCAATAACCGAAATTCAAGGGAACTCATATTATACAGGGTTACTGGTGATTTGATGCATGCCTTTGGAGATGTGATAAAAAAGTGGTAAGGAGTGAATTGAACCCTAATATGTTTATACAAAAGTTGATAGTTCCTGGGATATTTGATTTCTTTCTTCTTCAGAAGGTAGGCTTTGAGGGTTCAAAAGTTAGTTTCTCAAAAATCTGCTACATATTATTTCAAACTTTCAACTAGAATACATGATCACACTATGGTCTTATGTTTGAAATGGAGAATTCCAAAAATAATTCAGATCATAGGTAAAAATTGTAGATACGAAGTCGTTTTTCTGTTTGGGAATTGTGAATTTCAACCACATTGTAGCGGTTCTTTCCAGAATCTCCATGCCAAATTTGTCAACAATTTTTTAAATGTTCCTTGAGGCAATTAATAACTTTCTCACTGGTTACAACTAGAACTGCTTGATTCGGATTTGTTATTTCGAAGGAAAAGTGAACAACATTCTCGAAAAATGTTTATCAGTATCTATTCTTGGCGATACAACAGTTTTCGATTTCCGTTTATTTGCTTGAGGCCATAGCATATAATAACAAATGCTCATAACCTTCATCATTGGGCTGAATGAAACCTACGTTCAACAAGGGAAACTAGTTTTCATTTATTGCGTGAACGCGACTGATCGACAGTTATTCAAAAGGACCCAATTTTCTCCTAGACAATTTATTATGTGTGAGGTCATATGGAAGCGCTGGTTCCTGGAACACCAGTAAATACCCTGAAAGAACACACACAAATGATAACCGATGCTGCACATACAACATATTTTGACAACTAGAATAACAAAGACGGAAATAAGAAGACGCTGCCGAGCATGTTTTCGTAATGGATGTCTTATTTTGAACAGGATTTGCAAAAAGTTAATACTTAAAGTAAAAGTTTCTCAAGATCGTTTCCAGTATTCATTTGAAATAACAAATCCGTATCAAATACCTTCATTATAATTGGTACCCAGTTAGATATTTGTTGCATCGAGTTTTAACAAATTTTTGATGAATGTGACTTTTTGAAAAAATGACCGCTGGAAAGTGTTCGAATCTACAATTCAC